AAAAAAAAAAAAAAAAAAAAAGACAACCCAATTTTTATTAGGACAAAGGATTCAAGTAGACATTTCTCAAAAAAATATGCAAATGATGCAAATGTCCAAAAACTATAAAAGATGCTCAATGTCATTAATCATTAGGGAAATGCAAATCAAAAGCAAAATGAGATACCACTGCATACTTACTAAGATAGCAATAATGTTATAAGAACAGAAAAGAACTAGTGTTGGTAAGGATGCAAAAAAATTGGCACTCTTATACGTTGTGAGGAGGAATATAAAGTCATGTCATATGGAAAACAGCTTACTAAAAAGAATTTCCACATGGTCCACTGTTAGGTATCTACTCAAGAAAAATTAAAATATGTCCACACAGAAACTTGTGTGTGAATGTTCACAGAAGCATTAGCCTTACTAATAACCAAAAACTGGAAACAATCCAAGTGTTCAACAGGTGAATGGGTGAATACAATGTGATCTACCTGTACATTGGACTATTTTTCAGCCATAAAAAGGAATAAAATGCTGAGACATGCTACAACATAGATAAATCTTGAAAATATTATGCTAAGAGAAAGAAACCAATCACAAAGACATGTTATGGGATTTCACTTTTATGAAATGTTGGGTTTATCTAATCCATATAGGCAGAAAATAAGCTGCAGATTGTAAGCTTATAAACTTACAATCTGTAGCTACAGGGAGAGGGGGAATTAAGACTGATTGCTAATAGCTGTGAGGTTCCTGCATAAGGTAATGGAACTGTTTTGAAATTAGACAGTATTTACACAACATAATGAGTATACCAAAAACCACTGACTATAGACTTTAAAATGATGACTATTATGTTATACATATTTTCACTAACACATTTAAAAAGTCAATGCAGAATATTGTTTAGGATAATCCCACATTTGCAGGGAGAAAGAAAACTTCATATGTGTGCCTACACTTGTATATAATTTGAAATTTTCTAAGAACACATAAGAAACTGCTAGCACATTTAACTGCTTCTGAAGTGGAATAGGAAAGGGCAGCTTTGAGTTTATATGTGGCTCCCTTTGTCACTATTTGGTTGTGTTTTAAATAGCAAGCAAGTGTTTTTATTTATTTAATTAATTAATTAATTTTTGTATTTTAGGGAAGGGTCTATAGG